CCCCAAAACCCCAAAACCCCAAAACCCCTAAAAATATTCTAGATATTGAGTAGGTTAATTTTAATCGTCTTGTTCTTCCTTCTGGTAATCGTAAATGCCCATCTTCATCTCAAACATCTTGTATTCATCTATGTATTCTCTGCAGAAGTCTCACACTGTTACGTAGCCTTTGAACATATGGCTGCCGAATGATATCTTAACAATTTGGTGAGCAGGGTCCAGAGCGCTATCCCTTCTGGCTTTCATACATCATTTCTCTTAATTCTGCCACTTAATTGGTGTAGAGTCTCCATCGTCGATAAGCATGAGAGCGACAATCTCGACTGGATCACTGACCTCGAACACAATGTTTTCTGCCCACATCCCCACTGCTTGGTTATCGTTGCTCATGAAGATTCGGTCATAGATTCCAAGGCCTGAAGAGCTTTCATGACTCAGAAGTCCGTTGGTGCCAATGCCTTTGACATGGTCTTTGGTAGCTTCAGTCAAATCTTTGTTCCACTCTAAAGGCATCACTGGTTCTCGTTGTTGAAAGTTCTCAATGGATTGCTCAAGAGCAGAAACACCTTCGATGGTCTAGAGTTGAGTCAGAAGAATACCTTAATCTTGGCATCACTGATACAAGTGTGCTCATCGTCAGTGTACCTTGACTCCAACTCAGAGAGGATCCTATGAGAATTAAACGCTGACCCACCTTTTACAAAACATCTTTGGGTGAGTCCTGGCAAGGTTCAGAGCCATGAATATTTCTTGGACTCCCGGGTTTCAATACTCAGGAGGCTTTGGTAAAAACTTTTTCTTCACACAATAAAAGCAGCTTGTCGCCTGTAAACAATTTGCTTTTGAAAATGGGTTTTAAATTCTATTTCTCATTAGCATCGAGGTTACTGATCCGTATGGGTCAAGGAGGTCATGCTCATCGTTAATATTGTTCGAACTATTGATCGGACCTTGGAATCCTGGAGTCCCTAACGGCTTGAAGTTGCTATTCATTTTCTAAATAATTTTAATTTGTTAAGAATATAAAGTTCTTCAGACAAGCAAAGCAAACTAACTTACATTCACAAGACTGTTCATTGTCAAACTGTTGGTTTGGCTGACATTGCTATTTGGACTATAAAATCCACGTTTGGTCCCATCTAAGAAAGCCATAACAAAGAAACAGAATGGACTAAAATTTCCGAGCATTCTAAAAATGCAGAACTGCCTGGACACAGACGCAGCATTTTTGTTCTTGTTTTTGGATTTGCTCTTTTCTACAAAGAATTAGAAATCTGTGGCAAACTACATGGTCAAGAAGGCACAATAATGCACATAAATAATAAGCGTATCCTTCTTCTTTTTTAGTTTTCTTTTGAGCATCATCCTCTTTTGGTTTTCTCGATTGCCTATTTTATTTATTCTTGATTTGTTTTGTAGCATTAGGATAAAGAAAGTTAAATATCAAAAACCTATCATAAACTGATCAAATATATTCTTGACCAAAGGCTGCTTATTTTTACACTCTCAATTTTCTGTTTAGTTTTTGAACCATTCTTTATCATTCACATCAGTTTACAATGGTAGATTAGAAAGTTAAGTATCTTATTAAGATGAACAAAGCCTTTTCATTTGATAAAGATATAGTTTATTAAAAAGTAGGGGTTTTGGGGTTTTGGGGTTTTGGGG